AGAGACCTAGGCTCACGTCTGTTCATATGATGGAACATCAAATGGTTGAAATATACACCAAGTATATGTTTTTGGTTTTCCAAAAGGAATTTGTGCAAAGCAATTTCTATATTTGTTCAAAGAAATCAGAAAATTCAGATTCTAAAGTTCATAGGTTGGAGCGATTTGAGGGAGGAAAATTGTTTGAGAAACGTCGTGAGCTAATTTATTTCTTGCAGATTGATTATGTTTTATGCAGTTTCAGATGTTTGAATTTGTGGGTTGTCCATGACAACATATTCTCTATTACCTTAAGAAAAAACAAGTGTTACTTCTACGAAGTAAATACATTTTGAGAAGGTGGACGAAGGGCGCAAAAGTTGGCAATGTTGCAACCCCGTTGGTGCTTGAGGAATCAAGAAATTCTTTATTTACATGACATGGTATGTTATCTCACATGGCTTCAGTGCTGGTTGATGAGGCATATCTGACAGAGGCACGTAGCAAATTCCTCTTTTTAGAGTTTGAAGCATTGCAAAATAGAGTGAAAGAGATAGACAATGGAGTGAATGCTACCATGAGTGGAGAAAGGAGCAGAAGCCATGCGGAGAGTCAAGGTATAATTGATCCAATTGGAATTAGGACTAAAGGGTGTGGGAAGCAGTTGAAGTCATCAAAAGAGAGAGCCATGTCCAAAGGTGCCAAAACATGTCGTGGTTGTGGCCAACATGGACATGATAGGAGAACATGCCCACAATTGCATGATAATTACCAGAATACCCAAAACGAAGAAGACGGGTTGCACGAGGGTGAGAGAGAATTCATGACATACGTATCAGAAGATGAAAACAACTATTGATTAGCATTGTCTTTGAAAACTTTTTGGTTTTGTCTTTGTTTGTTTTAGCATGATCTGTCTCATTCTATAGTGCTATTTTTGGAATTGAATCTGTCTATTTTATTTTAATTTAAGAAATTGGCCATCTTGTACATTAATGCGTGCGGCACTTAGCATAATTGACATTAAACCAAAAAAAAAATTACTACTACAAACTTACTAGTAGAGTTCAATATGTAGATGCCTACATGTGCACCATTACAAGTTTTTCAACATGAAGTTTAGATTGACTTAACAATTACAAGAGCTAATAC